CAAGGCATTCCTCACTCAATCACAGAGGCCATGAATTCTAACCTAATCAGACCTGTTTCTATGGAGGAACTCAAAAAGGCCTTATGGGAGATGCACCCTAATAAAGCTCCAGGTATCGATGGCATGTCCCCACTTTTTTTCCAATCCTCTTGGAGCACTGTAAATACTATTCTGTTTAAAGCTATTCAGTCTTTCTTTGCTTCTGGTAGGATGCCAAAAGAAACCAACACCACTGCTATAACCCTCATCCCTAAAAAGAAAAACCCCCAAACTATCAACGATTATAGACCCATTAGCCTTTGCACTGTCACATACAAGCTCATCTCGAAAATTCTTGCCAATAGACTCAAACTGGTTCTTCACCACTGCATTAGCCCTAACCAGGCAGCCTTTGTTCCCAATAGACAGTTGCTGGATAACTTTATCATTGCAAATGAATGCATACATTTCCTGAACAACAAAAGATCTGGCAATCAATGTTTCATGGCTATAAAACTAGACATGCAGAAAGCTTTTGATTGTGTTGAATGGCCTTTCTTAGCAGCTATATGTCATCAAATGGGGTTTTGCCATACATTCATCTCATGGATAATGATTTGCATCACTACCTCTCATCTCACTTTCAATATAAATGGCCAACCTGTTGGTTCTCTCAAACCCTCCAGAGGCCTCAGACAAGGCGATCCATTATCTCCTTACCTCTTCATAATAATATCTGAAGCTTTTTCCAATCTTATCAGACAAGCCACCATCAATCACTCTTTCCAGGGCATTAAAATTAGCAAGCACTCTCCCTCCATCACTCATCTTTTCTTTGCTGATGATTCTATTCTCTTTTGCAAAGCTGATGCCCACCATGCTTCTTTGATTTCTCACATTCTCAACCTTTATAGTCTAGATTCTGGACAAAAGGTCAACTTGAGTAAATCCTCAGTCTATTTTTCCAAAAATTCCCAAGCCCCTCTAAAAGCTGAAATTTGCTCTATTTTGCAAGGTATCTCTGCTGTCCAGTCTTCTACTTATTTAGGATTGCCTCTGGGGCTTGGTAGATCCAAAAAGCAAACCTTCAGTTTTGTTGTAAATAGAGTTTCTAGTAGAATAAATTCATGGAAAAATATTTTTCTCAGTGAAGCTGGTAAGGAGATCTTGTTAAAATCTGTTATAGGGGCTCTCCCCACTTTTGTTATGTCTTGTTTTAAATTACCAGTGGCTTCATGTGAAGAAATAAGCAGACTTTCTGCTTCCTTTTGGTGGGGTAATAAACAAGATGGGGGCAGAAGAATTCATTGGACTTCATGGAATAATCTTACACTGCCAAAGGAAGATGGAGGCTTGGGATTCAAATGTCTTGCAGCATTCAATGATGCCCTTATCATGAAGCAACTATGGAGAATTATCCAGCATCCTGAGCTATTGATGAGCAAAATTATCAAAGGGAAGTATTTTTATAACTCATCCCTGTGGAAGGTAAAGCATAAATGCTCTGATTCATGGCTATGGAGTACTTGGCTGAAAGCAATCCCTCATCTCAGGAAAAAAGCCATCATGTCTATTGGAGATGGTAGCAACACAGACATCTGGACAGATCCATGGGTTGTAGGGATTCCAAATCTCTCCCCCACTATGGCCTTTTCTTCTGATGGCTTGAGACTGAAAAAAGTAAGGGAACTTATGAATTCAGATGCCACTGCTTGGGATAATGAGCTTGTAGAGCAAACTTTCAGGCCTGAAGAAGCTCAAAAAATTCTGAATATCCCCCTCAAGGAAGGCCAACAAGATGCTATGATCTGGACTCCTCATAAGCAAGGTAAATTCTCTGTTAAATCTGCTTATTTGTCCATTCTATCTGAAAGGAAAACGCTCTTCACACCCCCCGAATCCAGCAAACAAAGCCGAAGAATTTCTAAGACCTGGAAGACCACATGGGCTCTGAAAATTAAAAACAAAATAAAGGTCTTTCTCTGGCGTTGTTGGTACAAATATCTAGGCACCAATGACCAGCTCATCAAGAGAGGTATTCTGGTGGACCCCATTTGCAGTGTTTGTGGGTCTACTGAGGAATCACTCGAGCACATTCTATTCTTTTGTCCCCGTGCTGTAAAAGTTTGGAAGCATGCCGGCTTACATTGGGAAGGTATGCACCTCTCAAACTTCACTTTCCAAACTTGGTGGCAAGACATCTGTTCTATGAAGAGAGTTAGAAGCTTTCACGACCGTATACACTTTTCTTCTTATTTACTCTGGTGGTTGTGGAAGTCTCGAAATATTTGGATCTTTAATAAGATCTGGAAATCCGAAGTTGATATTGCTCGAGGAGCTTGGGCAGAATGGGTGGAATTCGAGGAAGTTTCAAATGTTGGTTCATAGTTCTTTGCTCTGGTTTTCTGCATCTGGTTCTTCTATCTTTGGCTTTGGTCATTTTTGGGGGAAAGCTTATTTTTTTTGTGGAAGTTGGGCTAGGAACGGATGTGTTCAGTGGCAAGCTTCTACAGGATATCCAAGTTGCAATGGCTTCTCGGTGTCTTTTTTCGGTGCTGGCTTTAATTTTGTTTGTGCTCCATTGCTTTCTAGCCCTGTAAATTTTAGTCTTTCTTTTGTTTAGCCTGTCAGGTTGTACTTTTTTTATGTTTTTGTTTGCTTTATAAGGGTTGCATCCCTTTATCACTTAGCCTAAGTCTATGGCTAAGGTTTATGTCCTCGGACATGCCCTCTGTATCTGAACTTTGCTGAGTTTGGCTTAATATTATTTTCGTTTCGAGAAAAAAAAAATATAATATAATTGGCCGAGATGTACTAATTGGACTTTAATTGGACTAATTCGAGTTCAAATATAATATAATTGGCCGAGATTGTACTAATTTGACTTCAATTAGACTAATCCGAGTTCGATTATAATATAATTGACTGAGATTGTACTAATTTGACTTCAGTTGGACTAATACGAGTTTGATTACACTATAATTGACCGAGATTGTACTAATTTGACTTCAATTGGATTAATTCGAGTTCGGTTATAATATAATTGGCCGATATTGTACTAATTGGACTTCAATGGGACTAAAACGAGTTCGATTATAATATAATTGACCAAGATTGTACTAATTGGACTTTAATTGCACTTTATCTCGCAAACTGCATCAGGCCTGATACTGCATTTGTGATGAATTTGCTAGCAAGATTTACTAAATCTTTCCTTAGAGAGATATCGTGATAAATATTGAGAATATCCCATTATTCTTCATGTATGTTGAATTATCTTTGGACTTGATATATGATATTGGTGGATAATGACATCAATTGTATAATTGATCCCTGAAGTATGGGTCCTCAATTGGTTATATACCTCTCAAATGGTATTAACTCTTTACCATTGGTTATTGAAATTTCTTCATATTTATCCTGAAGATAACTTAGTTTGTGTTACACAAATAAATTATATAAATACATTCGATGATATTTTTGAATCTATATCAACTCCCGAAGAGCAACAAATGACGATTTTATGTTAGAAACTTTTACATTGAGGGGGAGCAACATATAATTATGAATGAAACTAAACAGGTTTTCCCTTCAGGGGGAGCGATAAATAAATCTCGAAGATCGAACTCGGAAGGTTAATTATAATCCTGAAGATTAGGCCCTGTTGGGCGGTGTTGTACTCTTTTTCCCTTGACTAAGTTTTTTTCCCATTGGGTTTTACTTAGTAAGGTTTTTAACGAGACAACAAGTGTAACAAATAAATTTGCATGTGTCATGTACTCTTTTCCTCGACTATTTTTTCCCACTGGGTTTTGTAGCGTGGTTTTTAACGAGGCATGGACATGATGCGGTAATGTCCAAGGGGGAGTGTTGTAAATATTAAGTTGTGGACATTACCTAGATATAAGATTTGTAGGCATGGGTCAGGAGCCCATTAGGTATTTACTCATGTACATTATATTCCCTTATATATAGGGCTCAACTGAATGAATAAGATGATGGTTTTAACGGCGTATCTCTTATGTCTTATTCTCTTCTTCTTCTACTGTTTCTATCTTTGTCTATTTTACACATAGATTTTACATATTGTCAATCTATATTACAACAGATTACACTATAATTGACCGAGATTGTAGCAATTGGATTTTAATTGGACTAATTCAAGTTTGATTATTATATAATTGGCCGATATTGTACTAATTGGACATCAGTTAGACTAATTCGAGATCGATTACACTATAATTGACCGAGATTGTACTATTTTGACTTCAATTGGACTAATTCGAGTTTGATTATAATATAATTGACCGAGACTGTACTAATTTGACTTCAATTGGACTAATTCGAGTTCAATTATAATATAATTGGCTGAGATTGCACTAATTTGACTTCAATTGGACTAATACGAGTTTGATTACACTATAATTGGCCGAGATTGCACTAATTTGACTTCAATTGGACTAATACGAGTTTGATTACACTATAATTGACCGAGATTGTACTAATTTGACTTCAATTGGAATAATTCAAGTTCGATTACACTATAATTGACCGAGATTGTACTAATTTGACTTTATTGAACTAATTCGAGTTCGATTATAATATAATTGGCCGATATTGTACTAATTGGACATCGGTTGGACTAATTCGAGTTCGATTATAATATAATTGGCCAAGATTGTACTAATTGGATTACAATTGGACTAATTCGAGTTCGATAATAATATAATTGGCCGAGATTGTACTAATTTGATTTCAATTGGACTAATTCAAGTTCGATTATAATATAATTGACCGAGATTGTACTAATTTTAATGCAATTGAACTAATTCGAGTTTGATTACACTATAATTTACTGATATTGTACTAATTTGACTTCAAGTGAAATAATTCAAGTTCGATTACACTATAATTGACCGAGATTGTACTAATTTGACTTCAATTGGACTAATTCGAGTTTGATTATAATATAATTGACCGAGACTGTACTAATTTGACTTCAATTGGACTAATTCGAGTTCAATTATAATATAATTGGCCGAGATTGCACTAATTTGACTTCAGTTGGACTAATACGAGTTTGATTACACTATAATTGACCGAGATTGTACTAATTTGACTTCAATTGGAATAATTCAAGTTCGATTATAATATAATTAACCGAGACTGTACTAATTTAACTTTAATTGGACTAATTCGAGTTCGATTATAATATAATTGGCCGAGATTGTACTAATTGGACTTCAGTTAGACTAATTCGAGTTCGATTATAATATAATTGGCCGAGATTGTACTAATTTGACTTCAATTAGACTAATTTGAGTTTGATTATAATATAATTGACCGAGATTGTACTAATTTGACTTCAATTGGACTAATACGAGTTTGATTACACTATAATTGACCGAGATTGTACTAATTTGACTTCAATTGGACTAATTCGAGTTCGATTACACTATAATTGACCGAGATTGTACTAATTTGACTTCAATTGGACTAATTCGAGTTTGATTATAATATAATTGACCGAGATTGTACTAATTTGACTTTAATTGGACAAATTCGTGTCCGATTATAATATAATTGGCCGAGATTGTTGCAATTGGATTTCAATTGGACTAATTCAAGTTCGATTATTATATAATTGGCCGATACTGTACTAATTGAACTTCAATTGGACTAATTCGAGTTCGATTACATTATAATTTACCGAGATTGTACTAATTTGACTTCAATTGGACTAATACAAGTTCGATTATAATATAATTGGCCGAGATTGCACTAATTTGACTTCAATTGGACTAATACGAGTTTGATTACACTATAATTGACCGAGATTGTACTAATTTGACTTCAATTGGAATAATTCAAGTTCGATTACACTATAATTAACCGAGATTGTACTAATTTGACTTTAATTGGACTAATTCGAGTTCGATTATAATATAATTGGCCGATATTATACTAATTGGACTTCGGTTGGACTAATTCGAGTTCGATTATAATATAATTGGCCAAGATTGTACTAATTGGATTACAATTGGACTAATTCGAGTTCGATAATAATATAATTGGCCGAGATTGTATTAATTTGACTTCAATTGGACTAATTCGAGTTCGATTATAATATAATTGGCCAAGATTGTATAATTTGACTTCAATTGGACTAATTCAAGTTCGATTACACTATAATTGACCGAGATTGTACTAATTTGACTTCAATTGGACTAATTCGAGTTTGATTATAATATAATTGGCCGAGATTGTACTAATTGGACTTCAGTTGGACTAATTCGAGTTCGATTATAATATAATTGGCCGAGATTGTACTAATTGGACTACAATTGGACTAATTCGAGTTCGATAATAATATAATTGGCCGAGATTGTATTAATATGACTTAAATTGGACTAATTCGAGTTTGATTATAATATAATTGGCCGAGATTGTATAATTTGACTTCAATTGTACTAATTCAAGTTCGATTACACTATAATTGACCGAGATTGTACTAATTTGACTTCAATTGGACTAATTCGAGTTTGATTATAATATAATTGACCGAGATTGTACTAATTTGATTTCAATTGGACTAATTCAAGTTCGATTATAATATAATTGACCGAGATTGTACTAATTTTAATGCAATTGAACTAATTCGAGTTCGATTACACTATAATTTACTGATATTGTACTAATTTGACTTCAATTGAAATAATTCAAGTTCTATTACACTATAATTGACCGAGATTGTACTAATTTGACTTCAATTGGACTAATTCGAGTTTGATTATAATATAATTGACCGAGACTGTACTAATTTGACTTCAACTGGACTAATTCGAGTTATAATTGGCCGAGATTGTACTAATTTGACTTCAATTGGACTAATACGAGTTTGATTACACTATAATTGACCGAGATTGTACTAATTTGACTTCAATTGGAATAATTCAAGTTCGATTACACTATAATTGACCGAGATTGTACTAATTTAACTTTAATTGGACTAATTCGAGTTCGATTATAATATAATTGGCCGAGATTGTGCTAATTGGACTTTAGTTAGACTAATTCGAGTTCGATTATAATATAATTGGTCGAGATTGTACTAATTTGACTTCAATTAGACTAATTCGAGTTTGATTATAATATAATTGACTGAGATTGTACTAATTTGACTTCAATTGGACTAATACGAGTTTGATTACACTATAATTGACCGAGATTGTACTAATTTGACTTCAATTGGACTAATTCGAGTTCGATTACACTATAATTGACCGAGATTATACTAATTTGACTTCAATTGGACTAATTCGAGTTCGATTATAATATAATTGGCCGAGATTGTACTAATTTGTCTTCAATTGAACTAATTCGAGTTT